TGCTGTTTCTTAAAAGCTTAGTTTTTCTTCATATCAGGGTCTCTGACCTTTAGTGCTAAAGCTGAAGAACAAAAACAAATTCTAGCAACTTTTGATTTATTATTCCAAATACATCAGTGTAATCGCTAAGTGAATGTTCTTAAACCTATTTATTTTTGTAACACAGAGAATGAAAGAGTAAAAAAGGTTATTAAAAACAGTCTGGAAAACAGAACATATATAAAAACTCTTTATAAACTTAGAGGTAGAACCGTTTTCTAAAAGTTAAATATACAGTAACATGTATAAACATCTCCTAAAGGCTAATGGAGCTTTCAGTGCAACTGACACAGAAGGATTTCATCAAGGCAGAGTACAAGGACTCAAAACCGCAAACATCAGGCAAAGTCAACATTATTTTAACAACACTATCGTGATAATATATGATGTGATCTGTTAAGCCAGAAGGTAGAAAAATGTCTAGTGCCCAGTCAGTCACGTTTTCATATATTTGCCGCTTTGTGACAACACCTGTTGTAAAAAGCGCTATATAAATAAAAAAAATGTTTAAATATCTAACGTTCACCTGACAGTATGCTTTTTAGCTTGACATGAATTATTACTTTTCTTTCTGGCCACATTGGCCAATGTGCTAATTTATCGTGGACATTTTATAAAAGCTCATAAAATTAGTTCACATTCAAATTTTCAACAAATATATGAATCATCAAAAAAATGTATTATGGTGCCCCACCACTGGATCGCGCTACAGTGGGAGAGACTTTCTTTGTAAATAAGCCGTTGTTATTAGCATAATGAGGTGCTGTTGTGTGGCTTGTGCTTTACTGTGTCGGGAAGTGGGGTAGTAGTGCCTGTGTGGCCGCCTACCAGAAAGTGAAGAGGTACGGTTAGAAGTGACCTACCTACCTGCCTTCTGGCAGTGTCAGTTAGCACTGAGCAGCGGTTCTTTTTGCTGCCTGTTCAGTGAAAAAGCATTTGCCTTTAAAGCGCTACATTTCCATATTTTACATCAACACAACAGTATTAATTACACAAAGATGACTCAACATTCAAATGATACCACTCAGATCTGCGGACACTAGAAAGCGAACAAACACTTCTGTTATCAGTTGTAAAGTTTCTTATTTTGCTTTTGCTGTGCCTTCTGAAACATAAGCTGGTCTAGGGCACTGCTTCATCCAGACCTTTACTTCTGGAATGGTGTTCCAATGTGTTACAGAACATAACAAGATTTAAATTCAAATCATTACTAAAGGACTCTGTAAAACAGCAATATATGATGTAAAAATATCTTGCATATCTTCTGCAAGGCTTCAGATGACCATGTTACAAACTCTAAATGTCCTTGCCCAGACACCAAAAATTAAAACTTGATATATTTTTTTTTTTAAGCGAGAGAGGGCTTAGCCCCAGGAGCCCATTTATACCTTAGCCTGGTTCTCAGTGTTTTTGGGTCAAGGATCTTGACATTACATTTCATTTTAGCATAAATGAATTACATCAGGAAGATTCGTTTTTAAGACTAGAGATAAGAGACGTGTCAAAATCAGCTTCAGCTTGTAATCCGGTGCTCTGTTACAGCTGCACATTTCTTATTTGGATTTAATGCACAAATCTATTTTCAGTGACTCCCCTCATGTCTGCTTCTACAGAGTAATCCTCCGCTCTGTATGGCTACTCGATATGCTTGAATGAGTGGAATCAATACTACTTCCTCTCTGCATGCTTTAAGATGACAAACCCAATATTTCAGAGCAGAGAGTGGCCTCCCACCAGTCGTACTGGTTTTGTTTGGATTGTATTTTCAGTATTTCATGGTCGCCAGCTGGAATTTCATTATTTATAAGCAGTCTAGTCTTGATTCTATCCACCATGAGTTGTGCAGTGATGTCTAGGTCTAGTACAGTTTTACACTGGAACTAAGTAAAGCTGTTGGATTGATAATGTATGACACAGGAGGCAAAAGAAGATGTGATTCAAAGTAGTGAATCTCACTTTATAATGACTTTTGTAATGCACGATTACTGGAACAAAATAATAACTTGTACACAATACAAGGACTGGTTTCAGTTCATTGGAGTGAAATGTCTGTAACTGGAAAATAACTTTTATTACAATGAAATGAAACCCCCTGACCCCTTGTTTAGACTGTCCAAAGCAGACCTGCTTTTTGTCCACTGGACATTGTTTTATTTCACTTTACACTACACCTTTCAAAGGATGGCTCTTTGAGGGTTCTTTAGTGAAGAAAATGGTTTTATATAAAACCATGAAACCTCAAAGAACCCTTGGCATGTTTAAAGAGTTCTTTGCATTGTGAAAGTTCTTCAGATTGATGGAGAATGCACTGTATGTGGTGCTATATAGCACTGTTTTAAAAAGGGTTCTTTATAGCACCAAAAAGGGTTCTTCTATTGTTACAATGTTAAGCTTGTTACAATAGAAGAACCCTTTTTGGTGCTATATAGAACCCTTTTCAAAACGGTTCTACATAAAACCATCTATAGTCCATTTTCCAACAACTTGAAAAAATGCCTTACGATGCAAAGAACCCTTTAATCATGCAAAGGGTTCTATATAGAACCATATTCTTTACTAAAGAACCCCTGAAGAACCATTTTTTAAGTATGTATATAAGAAAAGTCTTTGATTTGACCAGCAGTAACCTTACACTCAATCAGGGAATATTGGAGGCTGTTCACTGTTTGGTTCCATCTCTAATGGATTTGCTTTTTCTCAACTTTAATTAGTGTTTAATTAGAATCAGAATCATGCCTTATTGACCAAGTATGTCAGCACACACAGTGAATTTGTCTTCAGTTACACAGCAGTTCACATCATGTATCATGTCCATTTTAGGAACTCTGGGTCTAAGCTGGTTTCTTTGTGAGAAAAATGAACAGTATTTTTAAAAATCATTGTACCTTTTGGTAAACAGAAATGTTCCAGAAATGTTTCTGTTTACCAAAAAATGTTTTGCCATACATACGTTTTGCCTCTGAATGTTGCGGGATTGTCTGAGGTCATTAATGAGCCAAAATGCTAATATTACAATACAAGGTAACTGCTGCACATTGAGCTGACATAATAAGCTTGGTAACCTCTCCAAAATACTCCACACAAACCAGCAAGCTTTGTCAAATTAGGCAGTTAAGGTGCTTCTATAGTCTCCTACAGTTAGCAATAGTAGCCTATATTCTATGTGCTATGCAGTATGTGAGACCTATTGGAAACAGATATGAAAAGTTTTACTGTATTCCTACGTAAGCTCGCCAACATAACAATTCTAAATTACTTGAAAGTGATCCCTAACAGTGACGTTTACTATACAGGTCTGTAAACATTACATTTATGTTATTAGCAGACACTTTTATCTATTTCCTTTTTTTGGTTATGACATTAAGATTAGTGTTTATGTCTGAATGGGAAAAAAATACCAGACAGGAAAGTTAGCTTGTTTGTGTGTTTGTTTGCATGCCTGAAATCTACAGACATTCACACATACATGTGTTCATAAAAAAATGTGCAGTGTTTGTGTAAAGTGATATGGAGCCCCTGTGATTTTTTTTTTTAAGGGATGCAGTGTAAGTTTTTTTTTTTACTTGGTAAAAATCTTGGTGCACCAGATACTATCAGATGAGCACCCAATGCTATTAAGTGTGCACCAGATACTATCAGGTGAGTACCAAAAAGTATGTGGTGAGCACTAGATACCATTAGGTGAGCACTAGATACTATGTGGTGAGCACATGATACTATCAAGTTAGCACTAGATACTATCAGGTTAGCACTAAATATTATGTGATGAGCACTAGATACTATCAGGTGTGCATTAATTACTATCAAGTGAGCACCTGATACTAAAAAGTGAGCACAAAATATTATGTGGTGAGCACTAGATACTATCAGGTTAGCACTAAATATTATGTGGTGAGCACTAGGTACTATCAAATGAGCACTAGATACTATGTGGTGAGCACCAAATACTATCAAGTGAGCACCAGATACTATCAGATGAGCACTATCTTACACTCATGTGAGCATCTTTTTTTATTTTTTTGGGAGTGTTGTGTTTGGTGGCAGAGCTGCACGAGACTGAGCCAGGTGCTGACTCTGTGATAGCTGTCTTAGACTGAACCTCTTGAGACTGGTAGAACATGGTTCTGGAAGCACATCCTCTGCTGGGTTTTCTTTGCAGTGGAGTTAGTGTTCATATTTTACTTCATGCTATTGGTGATCTTTAGAACTTGAAGGGATAGGAGTCACTTTTTGTTGAAGATGATGAGGACTGGCAGAAGTAAGGGGGACCTCCTGAAGTTCACTGTCATCTCCACTATTTTGACTCTGATCAGCTCCAGGCTGTTGTGACTGCTTTCAAAGGACCAGCTGTTTGACTAGTGACCATTGACTGTAGAGTCATCTGGAAACTAATGCATTTTAACACAGTGGTCTGTGGTCATTAGGTTACAGTGAAAAGAACAATGGGGAGAGCGCACATCCCTGGGTGGTGACAGCATTAATTGTGTTAGGATGATGCTAAACAATAAATAGACAATAAATACGGAAAAACTAGAGGCACAGAAGTGTACTGGTGCATAGAAGTGTGTATATGTGTCCGTGCGAAATGTGCAAAATATGCTGAGCAGTTTAGAGATATATTTCAGTAAACAGTGGTATGAATGTCATATGAAGTCAGACAGTAGTTCAGCATAACATAAGCTGATGTCTTAGAACAAGATCCTTGCAGGAGTCCTTGAATGCTCAAAGTTTTGAAGGATAAAGTAAAGTTCCATGTTTATCCACTAACCTGTTAGCCAAACGTGCAAAGTACAGTGAGTGGTTGCAATGACCTTTAGATATGCTAACACCAGTCTCTCAATGGATTTAATGATTACAGAGGTCAAGGCAGTGTACACCTACACAGCTGCTTCACATTTACTATTTTTATGATGCTGAAGGCAGATTGCCCACTGAATAAACACTGCTGATTTTCTCTGCAGAATATCCTACTGCACAGCTGATAAAACTCAGGATAAGGTGTTCGCCTACGTCTCACAGAGTCAGTTCAATGAAACCCTGGAGTGCCATGCCTTCCTCTGCCAAAAGAAGAAAATTGTGAGTTTGTGTCTTAGATAATGAATTGATTTCTGACAGTTTTGTCTTAATTGTCTTCAATCTTTGCGCCTGTATTTTGTTCTTTGTGTATGTATGACTGTGTATTTTATGTAGTCCTGTCACAATCAGTTAAACTAGATTACTCAGTAAAGTTTTTTTTTAATGCTTTGTAGTTTATTGGTTTGTAATTGTTCAGTTAAGTCTAATTTTATTGTTTGGCCTTTAAAAAACTATGACAGCCCTCATTGTATATTAAATCTGTAGATTATTCCCTTTGCCAGCATTTCTAGAGCTATGGGGGCAGTGGTCTTTTGAGCACGTAGCTCCATCTGGTGTCTGTCACTGTCCACTACAGTTTCTGTCCTGTGTAGTATGTGATGTCTGGTGCAGTGTCCTCATGCTGTCTAGTGTCAGCACCCTGCGGAGAAGCTGCCAGCTCAGCTTGTTATGTCCTCTGCAGGCCCAGGCAGTCACCCTGACAGTGGCACAGGCGTTTAAGGTGGCTCTGGACCTCTGGGAGATTGCCCAAGAAGGTGAGGACTGGACATTTGGTGTTTTAATGTCATGGTCCCCTGCTAAATTAACTCATGCCAGTAAAAATAGTACTTAGTATTTAATATATCATCACTGTCATAACAAATATTTGGATCTCCAATAGTAACTTTGCAGAAGAAGATAAACACGTTCTGAACTTTTAACGCTGGCAGGTCCAGGCTTTCATTCCTCTCTGATATTACCTTAAGAATAACTCATTTTAATTTGTTTTCCATGCTGTTACTGAATTACAAGAAGTAGGAATGTACTAATGCTTGGGAATTCTAGGGGGTTGATGCATGTTAATGTAAGAAGAATATTTCATTTCTATTCATTTATCTATTTGTCTTGAAATGTTTATACAGTGTAAAGGGCAGATGGCAATTTTAAATATGTAAAAAAAAAACCAACAACAATAAAAATTAAGTCAAAATTGGAGCTCTGATGTTTTGATGTGACAGTGACCATATCCATTACCTGTTACTTATTCATATCCATGACCTATTCAGTATGATCTCTATGTTACATACAGTCATATGCAAAAGTTTCAACACCACTGGTCAAATGACACATTTTGTTGATTTTCTAAGTGATTCCATCCTTTACAGGGTAACATTTTCTGATATTCTAGTGCAGAGTTTCTATTTATTCGCTGAGTTTAACATATTGACTAAAACATAATTTGTAATATTCAACATTTTATAATGTATTTTTTTTCCAGTATGTTAAGTCTAGCCAATGAACAGTAAACATGCATTAAGATGTGCAAAAGTGTGTTCTCTGTAGAGGGTGAGTTTACTTATTTGCACTTAGAAAATCACCATAACATGTCATGTGGGGATGTCACCAAGGATGCCAAAACTTTTGCATATGACTAAATGTCTCTCATAAACAGTACTTACTTTAGGATAATGTGTTTCAAATGGTTTTTCTCTCTTTAGACAAAAGTAAGAAGGCTCACACATGTTGTTCAAGCAGTGACCCTCAGGTGGAACCCAAACCTCACTGTGACTCAGGTACCAATAAATGGCCATAGTACCAGTGAATGTGGTAAACCTTTCTCCGCTATTACTGCATTACGCTTTTCCTTTTTGTTGTTTCAAATTATTTGTTATTCCGTTTGTGACATTAGTATAGTCTGCTTTGAAACCCAGTCAACAGCTTATCTACAATATTTGTCGAAAAATTTGAAGACGCCTGCTTATCCAACGTTTTCTTCTAAAATCAATCAAGTTTCTCCCCACTGTTGCTGCAGTAACAGCATCTACTCTTCTGGGAAGGCTTTGCTCTAGATTTTGGAACACTGCTATGAAGATTTGATTGTATTCAGCCACACAAAAGCATTAAGCTACAGATGTTGCATAATTAGTTCTGAATCACAAACGCCAGTCCAGCTCATCCCAGAGGTGCTTAGATGGTGCTCCATCACTCCAGAGAACACAGCTCCATTGCTCCACGGCCAAATTGGGGAGGCTTTGTACTGTTCTAGTTAATGCTTGGCATTGGACATGGTGACTTTTGGTTCCAGTGCAGCTGCTCCAGAGCATTCCATTCTATTGGCAACCAACATAATGACAATGTACAAACTGTTTGTGTGCAATTGACTGCCGTCAGTGGCTGCAATGCAATGGATGCAGCCTCAAAGTAGTTGAATTTACTGATTAGAAGGCCTGTCTGGATACTCTTGGGCATATAGTGTATGACATGTAGTATGTCTGACAAATGTTCTGTTGAAGGTGAAGTGTTGGATTGAATGAGCAGTGTTATTTAATAGAGTTGTTTTGTATGTGTGTAATAGAGGCTGAGAAAGCCCAGGCTCTGATGGAACACAAGTTGAGGAAGCCCTGCCTCTCCACTTCCATCCATTCACCATCTCCACGCAATAATCCTGCCCGGAGACGGCCAATCAAACACGACTCCTGGGTATGATGGCACCTTGCACTCATTCAAAAGACCTGATGTTTTAGGAAATTCATAGGTTATTTTAGGGCATGATGCAGCTAATAAAGTTACATCTGCTTGCATTTTACTATATGCAAGATCAGAAAAAGCCAGGATTAGAAACTACCAATTTTTGCTCCAAACACACAATCAGTCTACCATTTCAGTTTTATTTTGGCTGATCTGTGTTGCAATTTTATGCTGTAAATAACGTGAGCAGGTAAGTGCAGTTGAGCTGTATTTGAGTGCTGCTGCTACACCTGTACCAAAACTCATAGCATAATTAGGCATGACTCATTGTGCTAATAGTCAGCAGCTCCTTATCTTTGATGAAGTTCTTTATTTGATTTATATTATTTATATTTGCACTCTATTTTTCCTTTAGGACTTCCTTTAAGACCTAAATGACAGTTTGGCCCATTAAAGAGCAAATAATGTTATTTATATTGTGACTTTGGCAAATAAAAGTACTGTGCATGTGTTAGTGGGTTTCACTCATTATTCCCAACAATTTTGTGGACATTTAACACACACAGTGTGAGCTTTGGTTTATAAAAGGCAAATAAAAATCAGCCAATAAAATGCTCCTAAAAGTGGCCTAAAAAAGTTAATCCTTTTACCTACTTTTCATAGCGCTTAAATTTTGCAAGTTTTGAAAGTGGTTCCACAGCATTCTCTAGAGCGAGATTTCCCAGTTTAGTGACCCTCTTCTAACGATATTTCTTGAAGGTCGGAGGAGCTTTTGAAACCACAAAGGCTTCGGGGGGATATTTCAGGGCAGACTTCTATTATTATTCTCCACCTAATTTATGATTATTATCATATATATAATGTTACTGTCAAGAAGCCAAATATCAAACTGATCAGGCTGAGGGAGGCAATACTGCGCCACAAAATGTTACATAGCATGGAATGCCCCTTTAACAGAGTGGTCATTCTATTTTAATAACATTTCACTGTTAATGTTACTTTAACATGTCTGCTAAATCAGTGGGTAGCAGGGTTATTATAGGTTTGACACATTAAATAGTTTTTATTTTGATTAGATTTATTTTGGTTTTGCAGTGCAGTTTAGTTTCAGTCAGTTTGTTTTGCACTATTCGTTTTAGTTCAGTTGTACAAAAATAGCTTTAGTTTAGTTTTTATTTCATTTCAGTTATAGTTTTTTTAGATTTTAGTATTATGATGAACACTATGATAGTAGGTCTTCGATAAGAGCAGAATAAAATTAACATAACATAAACTCTCATTTCTACTGAGCCCCTAAAGAGTTTTTGTGAACATTTGAAATGTCATTGTGTTGCATTCTCTTGCAATATTTTTGCATTCCCTGGTCATTTTTTTGCATTCCTTTGAATTTGCAAGGGAATCAAAAATTATTGTGTATTGTGAGGGAATGCAAACTAAAGTTCAAAACTAAACTAACATTTTTTCCTAAATGATTCGGTTTAATTTTAGTTACTTTTGCAGTTGACATTATAATTTTGATTTAGTTTTCATGTATTGAAAAAGTGTCATTTTTATTTTTATCTCAGTTAATGAGTACTTTTTTCACCGCTAGTTTTCATTTTAGTAATAGTTTCAGTTAACTGAAATAACCCTGATGAGTAGGTTGTTGGCATGTTAACTGGAGTAAATAGCATGTTGCCTCCACTAGGTGGACTTCACTCTCTATCTAATTCTTTTAATGCAAAATGTGTTTCAGCCACTAGGTGGCGATCTGTGCTTTTCAGGTCAAGAAGGGCAAAGTGTTCTCTGTCTCTAAAACCTCACTGTAATCACTCACCAGGGAGTCTTTTATTTAAGATTACATTCATCAGTTACTCAGGCTGCACTCTCTGATAGACTCTCCTCTCGTTAATTGAATTTCTTTATGGTGATTGAATTCCCTTCACTGTGCAGGCAGGTTCTGAAACCTGTTTACTGTACGTGCAGCCTGCACTACTCCAGATCAAGCACATATTACAGATAAAGCACAAGGAAATCCAATACAAGCTTAATCCTCGGTCCATGTAAAAATGAGCCATTCTTTTGTTGGGTGAGTGTGAAGTGGGCCAGGAGTAGAGCATCTGATTCAGATGTTTTACAAGGCTTTCAAATGTAAAGTTGGTAATTCCTTGCAAAATTCTGGATGTGCTTTAGATTTCTTTCTTGTATTTACCTTTCAGGATGTGGAAGATGGCCTCGATGATGCATTTTCAAGGTATGTTGCATTTCCATGCATTAATGAATGTGTTTCTCAGTATGTTTATCTGCCTTTATGATCCATTGATTGGGTAGACAGGGCAATCAAGCTATGTTACATGAAGGTAGACATGTATTCACTGCACTGCAATAGAAAAGTCAGGGTGTTTTTTAAGAAAGCACAGTGACTGTAGAGGTTTTTAAATTGATAACATGTTTTTAAGGATTATGATGACCTTTATATTCCTTTTATTTGCACATACAAAAGAGGGAGAGTGCATGCAGAGATTAGTTCACTTGGACTCATACTGTGTTGAAAGGATTTTGCAGTAGACTGCAAAGAATAATCCCAAGCCCGCTTATTATTGAGCTCTGCAGGGTGAAAGCAAGATTACACATTTTAGGCACAGAGCATTTCAAATGAGGAACAACAAAGCTAGTTTTACAAATACATGCTGCACTGTTGTGATATTCAGAATATGCAATGCAAAGTGCATGAGCTGCTTAGAGCCGGAGTTCTTCTTTCCCCTCAGGGAGACTGATATGACGCGGGATCTTGTATAATGAGACGCAGAGGCAATTATTTTCCTGCTTATTAGCAAAAGAGTGATGAGGCACATTGTTTTATTTTCTCCCTCAAGTGAGTTTGATGAGCAAACAAGGCCATTTGAAAAGCATTTAGCTTCATATAATAAGCTAATGTGTTCTTGCACCTTCAGGTGCAATGCTATTTCACCATAAAGCAGAGAGAGAGAGAGAAATGGATTGGTCACACTGTAGGAATGCTGAAAGGCATTACTGACCACAGATTTTGTTTGAAGTATCTTGGAGAATCACACTCATCTCAGTGGTGATTATCAGTCGCTCTGAATGCAGAAGGACTCATGCAAAAGGTTTGATGGTAGTTTTTTAATCGGTTTTTGCAAGTGTTAAATTTTGCATGTTTAAAAAGCGTTTTCGGTTTTATGAAGACTTTATATACTTAGATGCATTAAGCTTCTTCTGAGTAGTTAGGACCTAAAAGTAAGTGTAAGCAAATAGAAATTGTCATATCCCAGTATTTTACATGTTTCTTCTCTAATGCTGAATGTTAATTACTGAATGTGTGTAGCTCAGCTGGCAACATAGCAAAGCCTCATCTGTAATCTGTCAACTGTAAACAGGGTGCCAATATTTCCAACCAAGCTGTACCTCAGTTTACTATGAATTTTTTCCTATGAATGTATGTATTACATTATTTCATAGGAAAAATTTTATGGCTGTAGACCTACCTGTAGTAAACTGATATATATATATATATATATATACACATATGGTGGTGTGACCATCCAACCATATACGCAGATAAAGTAAACTGTTTAAAAAGTTAATTTAGAAAAACATAATTTAGTAATTTTGAAATTCTGAATGAAAGAGTTGATTTTAGGTTTGAAATCCTTAAAATCATGTTCCAAAATAGGGGAGCTTTAAAAGTATTCAATGGATTTCAAAACCTCAGTAAATTCTGATTTCCATAAATGTCATGCAGCACAACCACCAATAAAAGACTTTTATTCTGACATGCTTTTAAGACAGTGTAGCCAGTGTATTGCTTCATAAAGAAGACTCCAAGTGACTTCAGTGTCAGGTGATCCCAGGAATACCATGAAAATGTGTATTTATTTGAACAAACAAAACAAGTGTAACCTTGACTTCAAGGACAAAAGTCTATATGGCAAAGTACAACTAGTACACTAACTAGTAAACTAGTACAAAGACTAGTTTATACACATTTTCAGTAATGGCAAATAACTTATATATCATAGAATAAAACAAAAATATCCCATTTTAAATTAATGTGTAGTTGTGCCACCTGACATTTTCTGAATGGTAAAATTGATGATCTGTTCAAAAATGAACATATTGTCAAAAAAACACAACAACAAAAAACACATTTTAAAAAATTGTTTACAGGAGAAGGAAAGAACATTCTTCACATTCAGTGTCAGTTAATGTAAATAGATTTTATTCCAAACGATTTTGGAGCATTTCTATTGGTCCATCCACCCTGAAATTTTCACACAATGTAAAAGACAGCTGCCATGCTAAAATTATGCAGAAAATTAAAAATTGCAAAAAAATAAAGGTACTTTTTTAAACATATATCAATGTATCAAATAGATTTGTGCAGACAGAAAAATACATATCTTGTCCTTCTTAATACTAAATAATCATTTTTACTTCTAAAATTTTTAAAACAGAATTTTTTACTCTTATTTGTCATTGATCATTTTACATAGATATATTACATCTTCCTAATGAGAGACAAAAATGAAGACCTGATTGATGCTGCTGTGAAATGTTATATAAAAATTAAAATACAGAGTATACTTGAGGCAATATTATGGCTTTATTATTTCCAAAACCCACTTGCAATATCCAGTTTTACCTCACAATGTTATATACGGCTGCACTGCCCTGTTCATCTTGGAAGAAAGTCTAAACCCTCCAAAGTGCAGAGTATAAAAAAGTAGGGCTAGTATATCTCTTATAAATGAATAGAACATAGCCTGTGGCTCTTAAAGATGACGATCAATCACAGAGCCTCCAGGGTGAAGAAGTGCACCACTTATTTGTTTTCTTTCTGTTTTAAGGATAAATTGATCAGTGTCGCTTGTTTGTAGTACAAAAGAAATCAGCCAGTTTGATGAAATCTGATTCAGACATATTCCACTTGTTTATGAAGATTGTATGATATGATACAGATGCATGATGTTAATTACTTAATAGTGTGAAACACTCCAAATTACCCCACTCCACGTATGAAGCTGCTGAATTATCATAACAAAACAACAGCTGGCTTTAAAGCATTGAAAAGAATGTGACTTTCTGAATGCAATAATTTAATTATGAGAAATCCCCTGAATGGTTCCATGAGACTTCATTAAGGTTCATTATATTATCAACAGCTATAGGAACACAGTGAAGAATCAGTACAGTGTCTCACGTCATAGTTTGGATCCCTGCATGGTGGAGGGATTTTAATGTATTTGCCAATGTGTTGAATAAGACACTACTGTTGTGATGGATAAGAGCTCTGGGTTTGGGGTCAGAGTTTGAGAACCCCTCAGGGCCAGGCTTAGGCTCTATGGAAGGTTTCTAGCCCACAAGGACAAGAACCCAGAATTGCTTTCTCTTACCAATATGCATAATCCTATGACATGGAATGAGAAACCGTGGTTTGTGAAGAAAGACTCAGTGATTATACCAGTCTACATTAAAGGATTTGAGTTCTTTCTCAAATCGAGTCCACTTTTTGGATCATGTAAATTTTATGCTCCCGTAGAAACTTCAATGGCTTAAGAAGTTTTTATTCCAGCTGTCCTCTCTGCTTTAGAAGAGAGGGTTCAAAAGTAGTGCCACTGTTCCTTTTTAATCATCCTCCACCATTTTAACAATACTGCCTTTTAGCGTTAATAGGAGATGACAGGTGTCACATTATGAATCATGTGTCTCATGAGATAAACTGCATTAGGTAACACTTTATATTATTCAGCTCTTTCAGGCCAGACATGCTTACGATAGGCATGGAGTGATATTTCACTCAGCACTCGGAGAGGGCAGGACAACATTCAATAATTCACTCTCATCTAAAAAGGGATGTGCTCATTGCGACTAAATATTAGCCTTCTTTGAACCACACAACATTTAGAATTAAAGGTGGGTTTATATTCTTTTAAATCTTTGATCATTTACTGTTTAACTGAGCCGAGGCAAATTTAGGCAGCTTTAGAGTCTAGAAATCCAAAAATAATCAGTAATACTTTTAGGCTTTTGTGTCAGTAAATTCTAGGCCTGGACAATACAACTACATCTTCAGCCCTGTTTTTGCTGGATTACTTTTACCTGGGAGGGGTGCTGTAATTTGAGTGATTACTGACAAAATACATGATTTTAATCTAGGATGAATCAACCATGTCTGTAGTTTTTACAAGTTTACCAATAATATTTTAGAGAAACTTACTTTATATAATTTGTCAAACTTAGAGCTTCCCAAGTAATAGCAGTCCTGTTCCAATCAACCTCACAGTAATGTAATAACAAATCCTAGTAATAGACATCGGCACCTGTGACCAGGAGACGGGGACAAACCACTGAAATGGAGCTTGCATTGGAAACAGTTCCTTTATCTTCAGATTTAAAACAGGGCTGCTATAATATACATCATTTTTCATGATGGGCTAATTAGATGGAGAATGAAAATTAAGGTGCTTTCAGGACAGAAATTGCTCTCACAAGGCAGAGCAATTTCTGTCCTGTTGGATAACATCTGTTAAGTTGAGTGAGCCCACTTATCTAGCCTAAGGCTATTCCACCTGGTATTAACTGGAAGTTTGCTTTTCTTATTTGTTTGGATCTGTCTAATTCTAATCTTAATGCTAAAGTGAATGTCCAAGCTATGATGTTCTTTTCCGGGTTATCTGGGATAATTAGGGGAAATTACACAGATACTCTATTCTGTACAAACTGGCCATTTGAATCCCTTACAAATTACATAATTGGACCCCCTCTGGCAAAACTAATCCAGTTTGAATAGGGTTTAAGTATTAGTCCCTGATTCCTGGTTCATTGTTCATTCGTTCTTATTCATTAGAAGCAGTATTTATCTCTGGCAATAACAAAGAAAGTTCTAATTTGAAATTAATTATTTCTAACTGATGGTTCATTGTGAACAACAGGGCTAATTCTGTTTAAAGTGTGGTGTCCATAAGACATTCTATTATGATGTGATTTTGATAAAAAGCTATTGTTGTGCATACTGTCTTTTTTTCACAGAAGGGAAAAAAATCCTTTATGTGTTTGAGATTTGGGTAACACTTCAGTGTAGGGACACATTGTAATGCCCTTGTAATACACTTATTAAGCCTTAACAAGACAGTAGCTGGTACTTTGGTGCTCATCACTACTTTATTCATCATTTTCCAAAGCACTTTTATTTGTGTGTTATATATCATAATGCTGTGAATAACCATTAGCTGAATATAGGCTCCATATGAAATGTGCCCATTAATAAACTGTGTAATCAAGTTAGTTTCATTATTGGCTTAATATGTGATTTACTAGCTTTTGGCTTGATAAGACTTAAATACGGCATAATAATGAACACCTAAAATGTTGAGCAAAAGATTAAGATGCGTACAACAAAAGAAGTGTGCTCTGGACAATGGTTATTTCATGCTAGTTATTGCTTATAAAGTATTAATGGGCAGCTAGTTAACTACCCTCCACCAGTACGTGATTTGTTTACATCCAAACCTTTAGCAAAAAAAAATCAAAACAAGTTGGAAAAACTGAAAAATGTCAATAAAATGGAAAAAAAAATGTGGAGGATCAGACTTGAACCCGCAAATATAGAATGTAAATTGAATGTAAGTGTAATTCCATACACTTAACTGGCGTAGTAGTATAGCATTTACAATAATAATATAGTATTCACAAAGTAATATAGCAATTACGATAATAACTCTGCACTAGGGTTAATGTCAGTCTTGGCATGTCATAAACAGAGATGCATACAAAGATTGACAGGCTGGGCACACTGAGCCTTATCCAGCATCCTCTTGAGCAAATATTACAGAAGCTCTGTTCATATAAATGATCAGAGCAATGAATCATGTTCGCTCCTGCCCACGCTAGCAGTCGACACTGGTGTCATGCCAATGCATTAATGTGAGTTCGTCCAGCAGGTAGAAATCAGCTCTGGTCTTGACAGCGGGGGCCATCCGTTATTACAGTAATGTAATGAGGAAAGTGCCCATGACTCACTGAAGTAAATCACTTCGAATGAGATGAATCCAAGTAGTTATCTCCCATTCATTTTAGCACAAAGCAGCATGCAGACAGCTGTCTCAAACACAGAAGAAAATCTTTTAGCGCTGCTGTCAGTAAAGCCTCCCAAATCACTTGAAGATACAGTGCTTAGGTTTGCACAAAGTTCGGCGGATTTTAAAGGTTAGTCTTCAAAGAGAGCGAGTTTGTGGAGAGGTTTTACGCTAGGCTGCACTTTGATATGATGTTTTAATTATGACTTAATGTCTGCATGTGTCAAACTGTATCTTTGTTACCTGTCATGCAGCAATATGGAGGTGGAGGAGATGGACACAGGTAAGTGAGGTGAGAGAAAAAGAACTCATCTTCTCTCTACTGCATAATACATCAGTGCTGTGATGTGCTGTTCCTTTAGTGCATTATTAGAAACACCCAATAAACTTTCATTAGAGGAGTCATATCCTACATTTTTCTTGCATTTTAATATTTGTCATTTTTGTAGGTTTATGTATTAAAAACAGCCATCATTTATTTGTACATAAATGCCTGTTCATTTCAAACCTGTTATTCTTTAATAAGCTCCTGTTAAGCATTCGCCACATCTCCTGTTTGTAATATTAGTAGTAAAGCTCTGACATGGGCAGAACACTGCTTTCCCATCAGAAGTCATTTAGCGATGCTTTTGATGTTGCTAATGCATGTGATCATGTTGCTTCTACAAACAGTTTTGCCAGACTGCACACAAGCTGGGAGTATTTGTGTCAGTTGGCTTGGTCTCTCTTGGTTTTCATCAACATTGTACTATATGATTTTGTCATGAATGATCCAATAGAATTTGTCCAAGGTTACTTGGAATAAAGTCTTGTCACATAAACATACATCAAAGTTGGGCTTCCGAGTGGTACAACTGTCTGAGCATTGGTCTTATAATTGGGAGATTACAAGCTTGATCCCAGATCACACCACTGCCATCCATGGCAGTGAGTTTAAGAGATATTTGCTCTTGTTCTCTCTGGGAGGTTGGAATGACCTGCCCACTGTCCTGTTGCTAAGCATGATGCCCACTGATGCAGGTGCCTGTTAGCTCACATAACAGAAGTTAATGTTCACCTCCAGGTGTCCAGTTTGAGCTGTACAGTGAAGTTGTGTTAGTGACAATATGAAAGCAGCTGCATGTGTTTTAGAGGAAGCGTGTGCTAGCCTTCACCCTCCCAGCTGGTAACATTACATGATGGGGAGAACTAATTAGTGGGTGGCAATTGGCAATGACCAAAAACTGGGGAGAAGAAAACATACATTAAAGTTAATATTTCTTTGGTCTGCTATGAAGTTACCATTTCAGAGATACAAGGCTTTGGCCTCAAGCACAGCTTAGTGGTGTAATGCCAACATATGTCCAACTAAAATAATATAATAACCCAAGATCATCAGATTTCAGTTGTTTTTGTTTTTTTTAGATGGACAGAAATGAATTACTCTGCGCTAATGTGAATGATGCACATTAGTGCATTTGAAAGGCATTTGAAATCAACTGCACAGAGCTATTTTCAAACCCACTTTGGTGCATGGCCAGTGCCAAAGCTCCCTAAAATACCTGTCACTCCCACACACACCGTGATTTTGTGCCTGTTTTTGTGCCATGATCATAACATGAACATAGGATTGTTTGTTAGTTTCAGATGGTGGAGGACAAAATCAGTGGGATGACTTGGAGAGAAATCAAAATCACACAATTTCCTGTTTACCCCAGATGTAGTTGGGCAGCAATGCAGATGTATATAAGTAGAATCAACAGATGTGACAAATGTAATCCAGTGACCATGCGTGATGTGTGTGCACACAGAAGGGATTCTGCAGGGGAGGCAGAATTTGGCATAACACTTATAAAATAGCTTTCTATAGCATTCAGCTACAATTAATTTTTATAGCTCATAGTAAGTTGTAGGATGCAGCTGGATGCAGTTTGAGTGAGTTGAGAGAAGTTTTGGGGATGTATGTGCAGAAAAGATTTGGGTGACTTCTAGTGCATTGTAGCTTGAGTGCTAATCTAAACTAAACTAAACTAAATTTGGACACCAAATATGTCTTGGCTGATCAACTACACCTGGGTTAAGTAGAAAACTGTAACTGAAGTATTCCTTTAACACAATCACTGTGTCTTTAACTTATTTTCTTTTCTCTGAGTCAGACTGGCGGAGTCCCGCTCCAGAACGGTGTCTGAGGATGCAGCTGTGAGCCCACTGGAAGAGGACCTTGTTTCTCTCAGCAGTGAAGAGTCCGCTTAAACACACATACACACACTCTTACACAGACTCTCCAGCCTGTCAAGAACCCTCATCCAACACTACAATACTCAGCACTTCACTCAAAGTACTCTTCAAACACACTTCTGGAGTGCAGAGGAGAACACTGCCCTTTATCTCTGACTTGAAAGGTGTAGAAGATGCATCATTCACTATAAACAAAAAAGTACCAAACAAATGGCAGCAACAAAAGAGCCCCTTACATGTCTTCTTTTTTCTTCCTGCAGTCAAAGCCTAGCCATCTATCTGTGTTCTCCCATCTCGAGCCTAGATCTGCTCTGCAGCACTCGACATCAAAGTACTTTTTTGGTTCTTACATTTCCAATAATCTCTTAAGACCCTGGGGCTGGTGTTGTACTGCTAAATGTCCTTTTTGATAAGCCCATATTGATTCAAAAGAAAATTGCACAGGTCTTATCAAAACACAAAGATGAACAGACTGCAGAGCTCTGAGCTCACACATCTTGAAAGTAAAGATCTTTTTTTTGGTGGTCAAGTAAAACTGGACCATATTGTAGGTCTGTATGCAGTTGTATTTATATAAACCCTTAAATTCTGTAAAATTTACAAATTTACTGTTGCATTTCTAACAACTTTTATATTTTGTGGTAATTTTAATTAGCTTCCAAAAACACTGCATATTGTCACTGTCCAAAAAAACCCAAGTATCTCCAAAATGTTTATTGCTTCCAATGTAAGTTAATGTAAAGAGATTTTATTCCAAGCATTTCTGTTGGTCCATTCATCATTAAAATGTGCTCGAATAAAGATCGACAGAAATGGAGACGTGTTTTTTTGGACAGCAATTATACAAAATCTGTGATTGCTGATTATCCACCAAGTTTACTGGCAAAACTTATTGTTCCTATGTGAGAACAGTAATAGAATACAGTCAGAGATGTCACAGTGCTCAGATGGCTGTAAAATGCTCGTTGTACCCGTAAATACTGAAAAACAGCACCAGCCTTAGTGATAAGGTTAATAACACTGTGTCAAGAGTTCTGTCCGTTTTCCATCTCTGGAACTTAAACCTCATGGTGGTGACACAGACTTATTTATCAGGCTAACAGGGTAACTGGTAACTGCACAATGTCGCAGGGGAACAACACAGAAGACACAAAGGTTGCTCCTTTGGCAGTAAAGCAATGGCAAAGTCTCAGGTGTGGCAGACCAGAGTGATTCCTAAAGAAAACGTTAAGAAAGGACTTGTCATCTGTGTGTTCATAACTGTTATTTGTAAATTGTTTGTATGTGTAATTACGATGAATAGCAGCAGGGTTTTATAGTACTAGTTTGTTCATTTGAATTTTGCAGTGTCTGCTTGCCCTAAAGCTGAGCCCTATATACAGTTTTGCAAAATCTGATTGCTTGCTTTACTGAGGTTGGAACATGTACAATATAAGCACTCTCCATTGCAATAAATCTATGTTTTAGTAGTTTTACATATTTCAGAATAGGGATCCACGAATCCCACCTTTTCTCTCCTGATAGTGATTCTGATACCTGAACAGTGGGTAACAGGAAAAACCTATGACAAAGCTACTAACAAAGTAGGGCTGGCCCGAATGATTTGAATACTCAAGTATTTATTACGTTACGTACCTCAACACTCATATGACTCATCTTTTTGACTCAGCGACAAAATGTGTAACTCAAACTACAGTTCATCATAAAAAGCCTTTAGATTAGAACAATAAAATAAATACATTAAATTTGGCTAGTTGAATGCATCATAAATTCCCTGTCAACTCACCTCAGAATGCAGCAAACTGCACCCCTTTCAACGTGGCCATTGAAGATAAAAAGAGCGAAGGTGCCTGATAAATCACGTGTGGAGCACACAGCCTCTGAATTAGCTCCATCACCTATCTACCTCAGGCAGGGAATATAAGCTCTCATTTCTCCTTTACTTTTTTTTTTTTACAGCAGGTATAGAACTTGTCAGCACAAAGAGCAAATCTATTTGTTGCGACAAAATCACAATCACTAGTTTTACTGCTGCTGTTATCAGAGAACAGAAGCCTCCACACATAAGATCCACCCTAAGATCGTCTTATTTTAGAAAAGTATTATTTTATTGTTACACAAATAAAACAGTAGGCCAAAAACATACGGAATGCACAAACATGAACGCAAATGCTTTTAGGCTATACAAACACGATTTAGTTGTTGTGTGCTAAAATGTGTCAAGATGCAATTCGTAATGTAACATAAGCACAAGCTGCATTCTGAACATTCGTGCGTTTGCAAAGCATTGGCAAGGCATTGTCATTTGTGTTCATATATTTGTACGGAGTATGTTTCTGGCCATAGACTCCATGTGTTTAAAAAAATGGATAGGTTGAAAGTTCTTGAATTTTGATGGATGTTAGATGCGTGTCTAGCGCAGCAGATGTGGACAGAAAAACTGATTAAAATGGAAGTGTGGCTATTCCTAAACTTTAAATACTATTCTTTGTAAGGGTGATTTTGAAAATGAACATTTAAATACTGGTTTGGAAACACCAATGAGTATTCAAAGTCTGTAAAATTCAGGCCAGCCCTATTACTGAGTAATGCACTATTACTAATTTTTGATGACCATAACTATTAAACTGTATCTCGACCTGTTTAAAAAGTCAGTAACCGATACTGATGTTAATACTGACCCAGTATGTCGGTAGATGAAGGGCATTCTTTTCCATTTCCACAAGAAAGCAATAGGTGCAAAATCCATCTGCTGGCCACACAGTGAAAGCTCTTCATTTCTCCCTGTCTCTCTGTCCTCTCTTTAAGTCCAAGGTCAATCCAGAATGAAAAATCAATATATTCAAATTTCTTCATTTTCTTCTGTAGGTGCAAAAGTTCATGCAGGAGGTTCCACTTCTCGCTTACTTCTTCTTTTTTGCAATATGTTGATAGATCTAGATGTGAGTCCTACTTGAAGCTTGTATGAAAGACCAAATTTATGTCTTTTTTCTTTGGCAGTTTTATTGTATTGTTTTTACAAAGTTATTTGAATCTTTTTTATATGTCTAACATACATATACATTTGTGATTATACTTGTCCCCCCTTTAGATTAATTATGTTGAATATGCTCTTAATGTCTCTGTTATTTGTTTTTTTATTGTCAGCTATGTTAACTTATTAATATTAAGAGATTGGTTTTCTACCAGCTTGTCAAAGATATACATCATGTCAGAGTAACATTACACAAGTAATAAATGTTTATATATATGTACAGAATATAAAGTAATTAATTTGTGATGTAAGCTCTCTGCTTGGAGAAGCTGGAATGATTCCTTATATCTTTTCATTTCTCATCTTATTGATATGTGTTTTCATTTTTCCTATAAGATATTGTGGAACATTGCTAAGGATGGTGCTTATTTTAAAATATCTATGCAAAGTTTAAATTTCTACAAATGTAATAATGATTGCCTAACCATCAGTGATCTATTGTATAGGGAGCTTAATCTGGTGTACAGTAAGAAAACAATAAATGAAACCACTGACATTTTATGGGAAAAAAAGTTTTTCAACAAGACGTTCAGAAAGAAAGCCAAGGTGCAATTTTCAGTCACATAAAACACAGTGAGGACTCATACTTCTTGTTTTCTGTTGTGAGCTCTTGAACTTGCTCCCAGATGGCTGCAGTGATAATTGGTGGGGAGATTTATAGCCGTGTCAGGCTGTGTGATCACTGTTGACGCATGTTGGTCACCTACAGCGTCCCTCTGAGTCGGAGTGCTAAATCGATTCAACAGGGAATTCTCCCACTGTGCGAGGCTCTTCTGGTAGTTACAGCACTTTTCATTTGATTACAGCTCAGTTGGGAGAACATGCCCTTAGTGTTTTGTTGCTGGCATTCTAGATGACAAGATTGGCTTGAAAGTGTATTCGCCTTTTTAATGAATTCCCACAGCATGTTTTTGTTATTATGTGAAGACAAAACAAGAGTAAAAAAACAAATGGCCATTATTAATTGACTATGGTTGTGACAGTGATCACCTCATTAATGGAATGGAGTTAATTCTCAGTGGTCTCTCCGTTTCTGCACTGGTAGCTTTGGCTGGGTTTTTAACTATTTATCACATCAGTGCCATGTAACACTTTTGATTCTGTATCCAGAATTCAGTTTGACGAGGGATACGATGGAAGCGGCATAACAAAAAAGAACAAAAACCATCCCCTTCTAAAATGATCATCCCCCCAACTCTTTTTAAAAAGTTGGTTCTTCAAAGGTTCCTTAGTAAAGACATTGGTTCTATATAGAACCAGGAACACTCAAAGAGCTTTTGAGCATTCTTGACATGGTGAAATGGTTCTTTAGATTGATGGAGATTGTGTTCTATGTGGTTCTATGTACAACCTTTTTCAAAATGGCTCTATATAGTTTACATAGTTTATCTATTGTCAAAAGCTTGACATCGTAACAATAGCAGACCCCTTTCTGGTGCTATGTAGAACCCCTTTCAAAAGAGTTTTATATAGAACTGTGTACATTACATTTTACATCAATCTGAAGAACGATTTCACCACGCAGAGAAGCATTTAAGCATGCAAAGCGTTGTTTGATTAAGTTCTAAATATAGAGTTCTTAAATAAAGTGCTTATGTCTTGCCTATTGTTATTTACTCTGCATAATTCTGACAGCATCCTGACAGATATCTGACTGACTGAACAGACAGTCTCTGCAATCAGTGCAGATGCATGCAATCATGTGACAGGGGGAGCAAATCAACCCAAATCAGGACACGTGACAAATTAAAGGAAAGAGAAAAACTTGAATGAGTAGGCCCCTGAAGCTGTGTGTCATTCTGTAGTGAGTGTAATGTCCATATTATGAACTCCAGGTCTAAGCAGTTTATCTTTCTCTCTATGAGTGTTTAAAAATTGCAGCAGTCATGCTCTGTGCTAAACAAAGATGTTCCAACGTTGATATGCTTTGTCCTGTGTACATTTCCACCCAGAATGTCACCAGATCTTCTGAGTTACAAGAGAATATTGCTTCATCCACAAGCTACATGCAGAGCTAATACTCCTGTGCATTGAAGTGATGTCATGTAATAGTGCGTTTTACAACAGTTAAAATCCTACATCCTCTGTAGCATGTAAAATTGCTGAAAAGCCCCAGTTGAGCTTGATTTAGTAACTTTGAAAGACGGTTCATTACTGAAGCATGGATGGCAAGAGCTTCACTTACAAAAGACTGCTGAGCTCTTTAGTACTTCAACAGCAACAGTGGCTACAATGAAATCTATAATAAATAGGGTTGAAATTGTGGTTAGAGGTGCACATTTAATGATGGCGATGTTCATCCATCCAGTGTGTTATGTAAGGAAAAACAGAAGAGCAGCTGTTCCGCAGGTGATTCAGAATGTCAATGCAGTACAAGATCAGACCATGTCAGCAAGAACATTTTGTCCTCAACTACAGAGAGAGGGATACTATAGTAGAGCTGCAGTGCACAAGCCTTTCATTACAAAGACAAATTCCCATTTGAGAGGTCAGTGGTGCAAAGTTCAGAGACACTGTTCTACTGAGATTTGGAAAAAAGTCAGATGAGTGATCCCTCACTGTATTTTCCACAGTCGGGCGAATGCATGTGTAGATAAAAGTACAGGCCTGAACACTTGATCCCTACAGTGGTGGGGTATGGTGGGTCTGTGGAGGGCATTTTGCTGGCATGGTTTGCATTTACTCATCTCCTTAGAGGGAAGAATCACTACAAATCAATACTGATTGATCACCTTCGTCCTATGATGGAAAATTTTTACCCTAACATGAGTGATGTCTTACAGGATGGCAATGTCCCCTCCACAGAGCAAGAGGCAACCCAGTTGAATCCCTATGGGAGATTTTGGACTGGCATATCAGACAGCTCTCTTCAGCACCATCATCAAAACACCAAATGAGGGAATATCATTTGGAAGAGTGGCGTTCTATCCCTCCAGTACAGATCCAGAGAGTTTAGAATTTATGCCAAGGCACACTGAAGATTTACTGGCAACACATTACTAAGATGGTTTTTGGTAGCTTTTCCTTTTAATTTGTCACCCATCTATACATCAATTTCTCAAATATGAGAAAGGAGCCAGCATTTGTCACAAAGGATGTTTTGTTTCGGTACATTACACCGTTAAACTATGCTATTTTGTATTCTGTCATTAGCTTAAAAATATGTTTTACATGGTAAGTTGATTACCTAATGTGTCGTGTAATTGATATTTAAGTGTAAAAGTTTGAGTTCTTAACAGAATATGTGTGTTTCTACAGAATGTGTGCACTTTACTTTCTTCAGAAAACTTCCAAAAATCTTAAAAAAAACAAACAACTTTTCAGGATATATGGCATGACATTCATGTAACAGAGGCACTGTTGGGATCCACATAATAAGTCACATCATTCATGAATCTTTATTGTCATAGAATAGAATAGAACAGAACAGAACAGAATAGAAGATACCAAAATCTACTCAGTTGAATTTTCCCGCAAGGCATGAAAATGTACAGAGCAACAAATATAAAACCAATTTCAATAGTATTCTGAATGTACATGCAATGTGTCATTTTTGGTTTCATCATCTTGGTAACATGGTCTGAATTATAGGGAGGTCTCTAAAACGGTCTCTAAAAGATTTATGCGGGTGCGTTTTAAATGATAGAGGAGGTATGGCTATTTACACAGTTCATTAATTATTTAGCGTTATTTATCATACTGTCATCAAACTGGGCCTAATTTCCAAAAGCACTGTAGTGTTTAAATGACTTTACTGCTAGAGAATGTGTTCAAAATCACTGAGAAAGCAGATGTATATTTATTTTATTGCTAAGAAAGAATGCCAATGGAAAAAATGTTGACTTTCTATAGTTACCTTTTGAAGTAACAAAGGCTACTTTTTGTGTTTTCTTATGTACAATTAATGAGTTTGCGAGCATTTAATATTATTAGACAGTATATACAAGTCTATGACTAGCATGCATCCTAACCGATATTTCTTTGATTGTTCTTCTATTCAACTGTAGTCATAATCTCAAAACACTATAACGTTTACATAGATAGTTCTATCAATATAATTCAAGGTTATAAGGATTCTGTTGGACATACAAAACTACACATTTCTACAGATTTCTGAGAACAGCTTGGACATGTTTTTTTGTGTTCCAGACTGCCGAACAAACTCCATACATGTGTAACCCAGCAAGCTCTTCTGGCTGTAGCCATTTCAGATCGTATATTCATTGTTTATCCATTCCAGCAGTGATGTGCCTTTCTGTACTGTTCCTTTCTATGTCATAAGTCTCTACAAGAGAAAACTCATTATATGTACATGTGCTAAGTCCTTGAGCGTGTTATGTTCCATTGCTGAACAGAAATCTCCCATCACTGTAGGGCTCTGCTTTGCCCATGATGGCCTCGACTGCCTATTCGGAATCCGAATCTTCTGCCGGAGAGCAGGCCTGGCTCCACTCAGCAGGTTCACCTTGCTCTCCGACTCTGACAGGTGCATGCACTTAAAATAAACAACTTGAAACAGGTGTAAAAACCCTGCTGAAGTTCTACAGAAGCATATCAAAAATACAATGTAATCATCTAGTCTCATGAGCACAATGGAAATGGCATATTGCAACAAATCAACACTGATTCCAATGAGAACGGGCTGTCATAATACAGCAGTACCTTTTCACTTTATGCACAATTGCCCTACAAGATTAGATTGCTTCTGGCATGTTTTGTATGTGGGGTGTGTTCATGGCTGATGGGTTGGACTTTCTGGTAAATCAGCTTCAGTGGCAGCCAATATAGCGGTTTAGCTAATGGTCTGTTCCACATGGGATTCCTCTACGGTGGAGAGAGTTTAAAACAATGTAGCATCGTTTCGAAAGCATGGAGGGCAGATCTGGAGTCCTCGTTCGTCCCTTTAGACCTCGATGATGTTGATAGATGGCACGGACTGATGAAACTGCAGCAGACAGGAGAAATAAAAAAAACAGAAAAATGTGACTCTCCTCAAAGGGGCCAATTTCATTAAGCTCTGCTATCATTTGTGCGGATGTCAGGGAGAGGATGGCCCCCTGGGCTTCAACACAACACTGATGGATGTCTCAGAGAGCTTATGCTATACTGCAGCTTTGGACGCTCATAATAAAGAAATTAGACTGGCAAATGAGGCATATGGAAAGCCTATGCATCTATACAATTGAATAAACTTTGAGATATAGCTAAAAGGGTATGGGTGTCATTACATTGCTCTAACAGCGTGCATGGTCTGATAATGACTTCATCATGGGACTAAAGGAGCACATCGCCCCCTGAAGTGCAATAAACATTAATGGCATGCATGGAGGTTAAAAATGCATCAGGAACATTTTCCAGAAGAGGAGGGTCCAGTTCTCGGCATCTAAGAAGATGGAAGCAGATGAGAGAAACGAGAGAAAGATCAAAGACCTTTATTGTGATTTGCTGCTTCTCCCGACTAGATGGTCTATTTAAAAAGTAGGTCAGTAGCTTTGGTATCTTTTGCAATTTTTAAGCCAAGACATTTGCAATGCTAAAGTTGCCGTGCTCTCTTGTTACGAGATGGGAGCAAGCCCTCTACCTCTCTAAGGGTAAAGAATAAAATGAGGCAAATTCTGTGCTTTAACAGATGCAGGGTGCTTTGTTGAATATTGCCTGCCATCCGTTATTGTTGTTTGCAAGATTAACTGGTGCTTGCTTTTGACAGATTGAACTGTTTGTTTTCTTTCTCAGCCTTTTTGACGTGCACCAACGGTGCCCTTCACTGTGTGTTCATCTTCATTGCTTGCTTCTTGCAAAAGTAAATAGCCAAATATGAAAATAAATAAATAAATGAGTAGATTTCATCAATCAGGTGCATTGGCAGGTCCCAGTCAGAGCGCCTTTGAGAAAAGTGAAGGGAATCGATTGCAATAAAAGCTTCTCTCTCTCTCTTTCCCTCCACAGGTATGGAAATGGATTCTGTCATTTTCCTCTTCCTGTGCACTCTCTAAATGCTCCTCCTCCTTTGTTTGCCATCAAATAGATTTCAGATTTTCAGCGCTCTCTATTCTGCTGTTTTGGCTGCAATGGAAGATGATAAAGTTGATTTGAATTCCTGGCCAAGAAAAGCACTAACCCAACAGCTTGTGCAGGTTTATGTGCAATTCACAAAACTGTATATGTCTGAGTGGTGTAAAATATGAGTCAGTAGAAACTTCACACAAAGAAAAAAACTCAAAATAGCATCTTAAATGTGGAAGAAAGTCTGGAAATGGACTTTTTGTTTCCTAAAAATGACTGTTTTTGGTGCATTTTCACACCTCAAACATGGCCTTTCCATTCATGGATCAATCATATAATTGATAATAAACCAAAAAATGCTTAAATCTAGTGCATTTCCTGCATTAAAAAATAATAGGGCATTTCAAGAGCTGAAAGCTGTACTGTTTTTAAGAAGCTTAACTTTATGTGAGATCAACCTTAACTGAAAGAACAAAAACACTCAAATTCTGCAGAACAATAGTACTTCTGACTGTTGCAAACAAATTTAGATTTCTAGTCATGCTGGACATTTTCATTCTGGACCTTAGGTTCATTAATGCTTTTATTAAACACCAGGGATCCCCCCACACAAAACAGTATATTTGCAACTTAAACCTCCTTAATCTTACTTACATACTTACTATGTAGTGCAAATACATTTATTATGAACAGCATGGAAAATGGAATAAAATCGGGCTCTTTGACTGTTAAAATCACTAAATCATCATTCATTCATAAACTAAGAGGTGTGGACATTTTCTAAAAACTAAACAAACAATGCCACAGAAAGCTTTAAAACAGAGTAAAACGACTATACATGATTTCGCTATGAAAACAGTTACCTAGCTTTTTCGAGATCTCAGCCGGAGCACTGTTTCAACTGGACTTTTAGGACTAATGTAGCATGGTGTGAGTGTCCAGATGGGGAATCAAATCAGTCTGCTGAATGGGGGGTGTGTATAAGGACTGTTGTTGTTGTTGGGATGTAATTTCTTGTTAGCCACTGTGTTTTAGAACATTGATTTCAATGAATCTGAAGAATGTGTGGCGTACAGGACTGCTAAAAACAGACTGCAGGTGTGTCCAATTTCAATTGCATTAGGATCCCATTCCCACGCCTTAGTACGTAGCAGCCACCCATTATTTTTATTAAGAAAGCATGTCACCTGCGGAGCTCTGTACGAAACAGGCAAATATTTTGATTTTACAAGAACAATAACTAATCCTGGAAGATTATGTTTATATTTATGCTTATCCAGAGTAATTAACAGTTTAATCATGTTATAAAAGTAGATAAATGTAGCGTTATAAGTCTAGCCCAAGGACTTATTTATACAGCATGGTGTGAGTGTCCAGGTGGGGAATCAAACCCCAGTCTGCTGCACAGAGGGCAGGTATTACTACCCTACACCATGAAGGCTAAGGACTGTTGTTGTTGTTTTTGGGATGTTATTTCTTGTGAGCTAGTCTGTTTCAGAACATTGATTTCAGTAAATCTGAAGGATGGTGTATAGGGTCTATAAAACAGACTGCAGTATTTTTCATGTCCGTGTTAAATGGGCTCTACCTTGCTCCTGAGAAGTCCTCCACTGTGGTGCTCTGGGGTGCTCCTCTCAGAAGATGGCTTGACCTTCTCCTTGCTGTTACTGTTATCGTTGTCCTTGATGATGTCATATTGCCGGCAGAAGAGGGCGATGACCGCTATGAAGAGAAAACAATGTGTCACAGATAGTCATAAAGAGAGACAGAGCTTCAATCATGATCTCAATAAGGCTCATTTTCTTTGAGGTCAGCGCATGGACAGATTGTCATTGACATAACAGGCCTCACTCAGTTTCCTTCCTGGTAAAGTAAATAATTCAGAATTGTAGTTAGGGAAATTTGAGACAGATGCAAACAGCAATGCAATGGAAATATGATGCAATTAGCTGCCATATGTAAATTTGTACGGGTATGACCTCATGGTCTCAAAGACAAAGTCAGTCAGGAAAATGGGTATGAGATAAAATGTTTTACAATGGCATCCATGATTATGAAGTAGAAACATTAAGGGTAAATAATGGGAGATCAGCGAGATTAGTCTCTAAATTGGCTTTTATATACTGGCATGTCCACTAAATGCTGATGTAAGGCACATTGGGCATGTGTTACAAGCTTTAGTAATAGAAATGTCCCTCAAGATGAAATATTACATGCATTTGTTTCAACTTGATCAGTAACATTTCAAAAGAGGCCCTTCAGTTTTGTGGAACATTAATAATGTATCATAATGTTGCTATCAAAACAAAACAACAACAACTAAAACAAAATCTCCAAAATGGTAACTTTGCAGAAGAAGGCAAATGTGCTTTTAATGTACTTAAGGTAATGGAGATATTTGTAAAATTTACATGTATGTCTCATAGTAGAATGTAGAATTCTAGAGCTGTATTACAGAAACTTCCTATCTTTAGCCCTAAATTAAGATCTGACAAGGTCAAGATATATATATATATATATATATATATATATATATATATATATATATTTTCTTCCCACAAATTTGTATTACAGGAGAACTTCTTATGTTAATTTAGGAATAATTTTAGAAGTTACCGTAAGTTATCTATAGGTTAAGATATCCTACACTACTCAATTGTTAATTAATTAATAATTAATTGCTTTCTCTGCCACCAACCAACTAACAATACAGTAAATATGTAATCAAAATGTCATTGCAAAAGTTAACTAGTTAAATGGCTACTGCTGTAAAAAAGAAAAAAACTAAAAAGCAAATACAGAATGATCAATTTAAAGTTTGAAAAAGTTTATTGTAAAAGAATACAGGAAAAAAACAATATTATCACTGTTTTTCTGCTCCCCAGTTTCAGATTTTATTTTCCAAGGCTTTAGCCGGCATCCGAGCAGCGCTAAGGTTATTCCTGCTAATAAACAGCCATATGTTCAACTCTGTCTCCTCATTGTTCATCTCCATTACTGCAATAACAAATTTGGTAAGTTTGGTAAGTCTTCAACATAAACACAGACAGGTAATAAGAGATAATTAGGGAGAATGTGTCAGTATACACAAATAAAATGCAATTATGCTAGTTAAAATAGATCTCATCTGAACTCTTCATAATGAATAAGCAGATAAAATTTCAGAGTTATGATGTTCTGTAATATGGCCCAAGGCCCTGTTCATTCTCCTCATGTTTTTTTGTGTTATGGATGTCCAGGTATGACTGTGATGGAATGCAAGACTATCTTTACAAATGAGGAACCCTTGTTTTTGCATGACCTTTTCAGTATTCAACAGTCAGTGGGTGTAGTGGATGAGGGTAATGCCAATTCATATTTAATACTCATATATACTTAAAGACATCGCTTACAATGGTGCTCTGAGGGGTACTTACCTCAGGTGATTTCTATCCTCAGGGAAACCATTCGGAAAATTAGTAATCCACTTAGAGATGTCTCTTGTCATGATTAATAATTGATGGGATAATTGCAGTGCTGGTACCATGGGTATTTTTAAAAAGGTGACTTTAAAGCTAAATGCTAGTTGGAGCTATAATGAATAACCAATAATCATAAGCAATTTGAGAAAGAATTACATCTGGCCTCACTTTAGACCCCTACCTGCCCACATGAGGAGCACAATCACAATGATGATCATCTCTCCTGTTTGCAGGTTTCTGGACTTGTCCAGGCCTTGAACAGTTGGGTCATCTGTAAATACAAAGGCAGGTTTTAACTGAGAAAGTTGAGGTCTTTCTCTATGGCCTCCTTTTTTAAGTAGGAGTTTTAATAGGAGTTCTTCTACTAAAGTGTTTTTTAGGCCAATGTTTTAAAGCACTGGAAATTAAGAACAATATGCAAGAAAAGATACAACCACAAACTTCTTGATTTCAAAAAGAGATTTATGCATGATTAAAGCATGCCCTCAGCATACGGGCTGATACTAATGGTGATTAATTCCACTCTGGATCAGCCTTTAGCATGTAATGCAGCACTGGTCGATTCAGCCAGTATCCTCATTCCCTCCAATCAACCAGAGTCTGGAGGAAGTGCATGCCTAACCAGCCATCCATCTAAATCATTAATCCTGTGTTAAAGGGATTGACTTTGGCTTCATTTCCTCTTCCTACCATCTTTTAACCTGTGTGGAATCGGTCCAGAGCACCACTCTTCCCAATTGATCTTCTTTAGTGAATAAAGGCGATGTGGGCTCGTATACTCCGGCTGTCATAAATGAGAAAAGGAAAGGCGATGCTGGATGAGGAGTGGGGGATTCTGCCCGAGCAATTATGGAGAAGGGTCATTTGTATCACCCTCGTTCTCCAATTACGAGAGAGCGGTATTGAGACACGCTCTCGCTTTGCGCCGATAAAGAGTCAGAATGAGCGACAGCCAAGCCAATCCCTCTCATCGCTCGCCCCGATGAATATTTATGACACTGAATGCTGAGATTTCTCGCTTGCCTTTGGAAACGAAGGCATAAATGAATGAACTGGATTGAGTAGCTTTCTCTGCTCCAGTGTTTTAAATGGTAAAAGATGTTCAATGCTCTGCTGCTGTTTGTCTCCTGAGATAAGGAGGCCACAGTATGTGGGAGGCCATGCTTTTTCTCTTTTTTGTTGTCATGGTGATGCTCCTCAGCCAATTAGTGAGTTCCCTTTTGGTATTTAGATGATGCAAGGGTATGCCAGACAACATAATTCAGCCTTGCTACATATTGGCACATTTTCAGAGTCAAGCATCTGTTCATTACTTCCACTAGACCATGGTCTGTGCGAAGGATGCTGTCATACACATGCACACATCTGGGCTCCGGCAGAGAACAATAAAAAATATACAAACAAACTGAGAGCAGAAACAAAAGTGAATGTCATGGCAGCGACTGACAAAACACTTAAATGACATCGTCATCACTGCAATGGCACGGGGCCATTACACGACGCTGCACTAAGTCTCTGCTCTTGCAGTTTTTCACCAGTGCCTCTCATGCAGGCACATTTGAAATGGATCAAGGAAGAATAACAATGAGTCCAGTGTCGCCACAGGCAGATATTTACATTAACAGTCACGACAGTGCATCGGCTCAGGTGATGAGAAGGATTTTTTTCTTCACGAGGGCCTGCATTGTTTGTTGCACTAGCCAGAGCAGTTTCTTTTCTTGTAGACACGATTTCCAAAGGCAGGCTTCAGCATTCCTTTGAAGCATCACAGTAATTGTATCTAAGGGGAATCGTCTTGACTCGAGCCCAACACTAAATATAAGTGCTGCTGGTAGGGCAGAACACTGCAGAGGCGCGCAGGGAGAGGTGAGGCTGTCTGCAGTCAGAGAGTCAGACTGCTAACTGCTTTGACATGCTTCATTGTTCATTATCTTTTAAACACTGAGCATTTGCTTCTGGGATCTTTGGATGAAGGGTTATAAAGCAGTGTTTTAACACAGCGTGCTCCGGAACTCCAGAATTCTCTCTCCTATTTTCACCTTTATTTAACTGCAACAAATACTGCTAAAAATAAATTTGTGGTAGAACTGCTTTGCATAATTCTCTTGACAAAGTAAAAGGTCCATATCTGACATTTTTTCTTGCTTTTTACTATCTTCCTCAAGGTCTACTCACGATGATGATGCGGGTTTATGTAACAAAAACAGTCATGATTTGTTTTACATAACCATTTTCCAACTTCACCTTTATTAACCACTATTTAAACAGTAACATTTTGAGTTTGTCACTGTGCTTTTAAGACTGATAGAGTGATACATATTGATGCTGTCAATATTTCAAGTGATTCTGGAGCATTTCTGTTGGTCTATTCATTATGAATTTCTTACAATAAATGTTATAGTATATTTATAGTTTATATGTACATAAAGGGCCTCTTTTCTGATTGGCTGCCATGTGCTGTGCTTCATTTTAAAAACAGTCCAAGCTGAAACAATTCTTAAAACTTCATTGCGCATTGTTGGAAGTTAAACTGCTGTTTGCTGAAAGGTTGTACACTCTCATTCTAGTTTCAGTTTTAAACTGCAGTTTTCAAAAATATAAAACCAATTTTGTTGCAAAAACTTGTGTAAATGTTTTAAATTGATGCTTATATGCTAAAGATTTCAAACAATTTGTATAAGGCTGAAAAAATTAAGAACATTTTCATGTTGAACAGAACTGTAGATGATACAACTCTGTTGAGGTAACTGAGAATGCACATAGCCTCAAGAATGAACTTTGGTTTTCCCATCTGAATTTACATGCCCAAGTCATAAGGCAAATTATTCAGTAACTGTATGAAATAAATGTAAATTTTTGTTTTTTTTTTGTAAAAGCTCCACTCAAATGAACAGAAAATGTGTTTCATGATCATAAAAATAATGCTATATGCTTACAATTTACTGCTGAAAGCTAAAAATCTTAGATGCTCTTTGTATTATTTTATAAAAATAATTTTTACAGAGTATATCACTGAAGAGACACCATCTGAGATCCAGTTTATAGCTCAGATTTGTGGAAAAATGGGTCAACGTTCAGTAGAAAAAAAGTTGTAAATTCAGCTTCTTTTATTATAAAGTTTTAAAATTACATTACCCATCTATTTGACTGGAAAGAAGACAGTTACAGCATAAATGAAGCAGAATGAAGCTTATAAAATATGAAAGTTGTTAAGTAAAGAATATGACAAAGTGCATTTTGGAACCACCAGTGGTCTCAAGGAGTTAAGAAGTTTGAAAATGCGTCCAACTGAAAGAGCAAATCAGAGAGTAATTCTCGCTGATCAAATATACTTTACATTGTGAATAAACCACTAGTTCACATTTTGCTGTCTGTCTTCAATGTACACTGTAAGTTATTATTGAATAACAGTTAAAATGACAAGTAATAACAAACGCCTAGCTTGAAAATGAGCCACTTCTGCTGCTAAGTTTCTGATGCAGACTTTTTCTTAAGACCTTTCTCAAGTACAAATTGAAAATATTTAGGAAGATATTAGTGAATGAGGCCCAATGATCATAAAATGTGCCTCATTCACCAACCATTCTTAAGAAGAAATTTCTTATTGAAACCCACTTTCGCAGTTTTCATGAAGATTCTGACATTCACCAGTGTTTTCTTATTTGGGGTTTGTTCTCAGGTCAGAACAGAATCTACACACACTCAAGAGCACAAAGGTGCGAACAGTTCTGTGGTTTAAGAAAATGTCATGATCCAACATGTTCCAACATAGACTTTTTCTGAGGACCTTTCTCAAGAACACATTTCACAACAAACTTGAAAAGAATGAGGACCAACGTTCTTAAACGCAATTCTCATAAACACCCCAAGAAGTTCTCAAGTATTCTCTTAAGAAAGTCTTATTCATTTTCTTAAGAAAGTCTTAATTGCAGGTTGTTTGTCCTGTAAATCATAAATATTATTTTACATTTTACAGATTGTGCCTGCAAAGCACAGCAAAAGGAAAAAAAAATCAAACCAAACATTTAAAATATCTGTCAAGCTTGACCTAGAAGATTGTAAGGGAAACAGCCAGGCATTTACTCTGTCTAATTTTATAGTCTAAGACAAGTTTGGGACTGTTATAAGGTTTAGAAAATATTTAAGTATTTCTTAAGTATAAATATTTCTCAAGTATGTAGTTAAGAATAAAAGCACATTTAAGAAGATTTTCTTTCTCAAGACACTGTGTTTCCATATTTGGACAATTACTGCTTCACCATTACCACTAATGTTTTTTTAACAATTAAAACCACCTAGAATAAACAGTATCGGAGGTAATAATACTACTGTCTTAACATGAACCTCTTGAACTCATCTCAACTCCAAGATGATCTCCAAAAGAAACATTAACTCTAAATGACATGAAAACAGTACTCTATGGCATTCAAAATACAGTGCAAACAAATATTACAATGAACTAATAACATTCTAGAAGGTTTATGGGGCAAATGAGGACCGTCAACCACTCTGCCATGAATGTGTTTATTCTACAGCTGCTGGATGTTTGTTATATATTCACACCTTTCCAAATGGAATCACTGGTTTGTATCTTACAATACCTTTTACATTTACTAGACGGGGTTTTATCATTATATGAAAGAACTTAATATAGCTTGGAAAGCAACAGTGTACTATTCCAAAGTGACATAAATTAGGGGGTGTTTTCAGTGTTTTATTCTTATTTTATTTCTCTGCTAGTCCTGATAAGACAGCATCTTCCTATAACTTCTTTTCTCTCTTGGCTTTTAAAATACAACAAATACAAGCAAAGGCAGAGAAATATAATTCCCTGAATCTGAATGGTGATGTGACTCATTTTTATAGGATCAATGATGTTGTGTTAGGGATGCATCCTCCTTATTGATTCCCAAACTAATTGAAATGCCTATGGATGCGCAACAAATCAATGGATCTTGAATGAGTGTGGTTGGCTGTAATCGAGGCTCTTAAATGAGCTGTGTGAAGGCTCAGCAGCTGCAACAAAAGGCTTTTTTGAAAAGCATCATCATTTGAAATCCCAAAGCACACATAAAAGGGACTCGTGTGCGACTTCATTATACCTCACTATGCTCGTTACTGAGTCACAGCATTGTGGAGGCTGTGGTTGAGTAATCACATTGTTGAAGGCTGATTCAATTCACTTCTAACAGTAAGTTACCAGTGTGATAATAGACAGTTTGTGACTCCCATGCAGATGATTTGTTTGGCATTTTCTCATGGATTAAATCA